CTTTACAGTGTGTTTAGCCAGGTTTTTGCCTGGAACACTAAAGAAATCTGGCACCCTATTGAATGAAAAAATAGAAGCGCATGTCGTTCACAGACACCAGAATTAACACATTCACAGTTCGTTCATCAGGCAGTAATACAGTGTGTTCAGTTCACGTTCATCCAAAATATGATCAGGTACAACACTGGTGCTAGGTGATATCAGTCCGCCCCTGCCAAGCTTTCTATCAAGAAGTACAACTCACTGCTGCTGCTCAGACATAAATCCTTTAATTGCAAAGTTGGTTTTACATCTACAATTATTCTATCGACACAAATAGTTACATTGACAGTCTGGTGTAATAATTGTTTTGCTTCGGGTGTTTTGTGGAGTGGGTAAGACTGTTTTTAGTGGATTGCTAACTATGACCATTGACATGCACTAGCCTAGCACCAGCGACCTCTGCAAGTACATGGACTTGATGGAATATTTAAAAACGTGTCTCCACACGTCTCCAACACTCTGGCTCACTAGGAAATAAGATCCTATGTCCAAAATTCCAAACTGTCCCTTTAAACATCTGCCAGGTCATTTATTAAACGTCAGTACTGTTTTAAATGCTTAAAACAAAAACAAAAACAAAAAAAAGCTTAAAATACACATAAAATGTAGCCTAATGTTTCAGTGGGATCAGAGGATAAAAGTAAAGGTTTAACTTTCATTGTCCCCTTGGAAATGTCATTGCTTTTTTAAAGCCATCTACTTATCTATATTTCATTTAAAAACAATGTACAACAGTTTTGTTTTAAAAGGGTTTATTGTGTTACTTAAACACTTGATCAGACAAGGCCCATGTCACAAGAGCAAACTTTACTTTGTCTGGTCTTTGTTGGTATCAGCAGAGCTCCAGATGGTGTCACCATCGTTGTCCAGGAGCAGAAAGCCCTGGTTGGTGATGGTCAGTCTCATCCTGGAGGAGAAGGGCTCCACTTTAGTGCCAGTCTCCCAAATCACTCTCTTGTCTGAGTCAAACATGACCAGGTTCCCATCAGACTGCAGCACCAGGCGCTGTGCACAGAAGTTTGCTGTTCCTGTGGCCCACACTGGCCCATGGCCACGCCGGTACGTCGTCACCAGGTTACTATCAGCCTGAGGAGGAGGCAAAGGCATGGTCAGAGACTCTGGTACTGTCTGTAGTACAGTCTGTCGTATTGACTGTCATACTGACTGTAGTACTTTCAGTAGTACAATCTGTAGTACAGTATGTAGTACTGACCTGCATTATGGTGTAGTACTCATCGTTGAGACTCTGGATGTACTCTCCAAAGCGCAGTTCCTGGTTGGTGCTGATGGAGTTGCGGCTCATGTTTCTACATAAACACAGGTCAGAGTGATTCTAGTGAAGACTGTCCGTCTTTATCAAACTCATTTCTCTGGTCTCACCTGGAGGCTGCTGCTTCTTGTGGCCCTGGTGCTGCTGTGACGCTGCTTTCACGCTGGTTGGACACTGGAGCAGAAACTGAGGATTGGGGCCCAAAGCTGAGTCTTAAATCTGCGCTCTGAGTGGGGATGAGTCAAAGGCGGGTCTGAAAGATTTCACAGGAAAAGGTTGTCTCCACAAAGCCAGTGTTGTACATTTACTTTACACAAGGGTTTGGTCATGAAGTCAATATTCTGTAGAAACCTGTTGTATAATCCTTTAACATTTATGTAAATACTGTATATCCTCTGATGCCATTTCCCCCTTTCTTTTCTTGTTCTTTTTTTTTTTTTTTTACTGAAATGCAAAGCCCCTGTCTGGCAAAAAATTGTTAGTTAAATGTGGAGGGTCTGTCCCCTGCTTGTCCAATCACAATTTGAAAAACAAGCTTTATCAATTAAATTATATGGGCAAAACAACTTATTGGATACATATTAAACTATAATAATTGTATTACAACTGATCAAATGATGCACTATATATTGAGAGTTCAGCAATAATAAGTGCAATCAGCGACACAAAAATATTGCCGAGCCCACACACAGTTCACTGAAACCCAAGTCCTGGTCTTACTGTATATCAGAGGAAAGTAAAGTGTAGCAATGCATTTCACAGGAAACTAATACACACTGACCAATTTCAACATTTTAGAGCTTGTTGCACGTACAGGCATTTGATATATATAATACACTATTATACAGACACATACAAAACAACACAGTTGTCATCTATAAACCGATATAATGTTACTGTGTCTTGCTGTGATCGCCTCTAATCAAAGTCCTTACTAGTCTGCTAAGTGCAGAGAGATCCTTCATGCAATTTATACATATAATAAAACATACTTCTGCATTTTCTTGGTGTTTCACCTGGTGGTGTAAATGGGAGATGATCATGGAAAGTAAGTCATTAAAGATTACTCAAACATGCGTGAATTACTCCAAATACAACTTTGAGAGTAAGTGAGAAGGGGAAACAACTATAACATGGTTAAAAGTTCTGAAAAGTCCATTTTGCTGTTTTAACCAGCTCAAATCTGTCAAATAAATACATGGACCTAAATAAAATATGCATTACTTGACTTAAAAATGCTGTAAAAACTTGCCCTAAAGTGTGGCAAGCTAAAAGCTTTCTTTGGGGAATCTTTACAAATATGATTGATGAGGAAAATAATATTGAATCATTTCTCCTGATAATTCTTTAGCAGGTTTTCTACTGTACATGGGAGCTACAGTGGTTCTGGTGTCCCTCTCTGTTGCTCTCCTCATATTTTACTGTAAAAAGAAACAAAACAAAGACAAAGGTAAAAGTTCTCATTGCCATTAAATGTGATCTGAGAATTTTAAGGTTTTTATTTTGGCTTCTCTTTCTACAGAGGGTCCACTGAACAGTGGATCTGCTGAAGGCTTAAAGGTGAGTAGAAAACACACAGCCTGACCAAGCTTCGTAAGACTTCACCTATGTACTCATCGCTGTGAAAGCAATAGACAAGGGGCTCGGGCCTAAAAAAATGGTATCAGATCGAAACCCAAAGAAACTAGATCGGGACATCCCTGATAAAGATTCATAATTTCTTGTTTATTCCTCAGACTGTTGCTGCTGGAGACTGCACATACCAGAGCCTGAACCTGAACTCAACTGACCCAAACAAGACCTACAGTACTCTTTGTGTCCAGCAGGGGATATTTAAGACACACTAATGCCCACATTACTTACTGTTTTATACTTTTAATAACCTGCATCTGAATATATGTGTCTGTGAAAGAATTTTGAAATTAATTTCACTTTTTAAAATGATTATGATGTTTTTATGTGAAATTTGTTTTGTGCGTCTCCTCAATTTATGTGTGAAAATGCATCTCATAGTGTCATATTGTATTTTTTTCTGAAATTCAAAAGTTTATATATTGACTCTAAAAGTACTTAATTTTAATTCACAAGTGCAGAAAATGCAAAATCAGATATTCAACAGAAATTTGGAAATAACACTCAAATTTTTTAGAGATATTACACAAGCCAACCCACATGACACTCATATTGGGATTCTTTATTCATGGTAACAGACTGCATTTACAGTGTACATTAACCACAAAATTAGAAAGAAGTTAAGTGCAAAATTCTTCACAAATAATTACTCATAAGAAAAGGTCACAAGGCTTAAACTGGATAGAGCTATAAGGCATTTTTGTGACAAATATGTACAAACAATCCCTCATCTTACATCTTAAGGAAAGTTCTTTTGTGAAAACACATTCTGAATATTTCTGCTTTTGTCTGCATTTTCTATGAATTTTATACTCACTGAAATTTACTCATGAGGTGGTAGTTTTTAAGTTAACAGCTACCTTTTAACTTTAGTTCAGCAGAGACTGGCAATTCTAGGACTGAAACAAGGAGGCAGTAGTCCGAGCAGAGCCTTGTAAATAAAAGTCTATGTCCCTGCCCCCCAGTGGACAGAGAAAGCCACCACACTTCTGAGTACAAACCACAGTGACACGTCATAGCTCTACAGTTTGTAATGAACCTCAGTGAAAAAAAAAGATCACCACAGTCTATTACAGATAAGAAAAACACAGTTTATTAAGGAGGAAGAATTTAGAAGAATTTTAGTTTTAGTTTCTTTACAAGTGTTACGGCCCCAGGCCTTAGATTGTCATTTGTTCTGTGTGTTCTAAATTATTCTGCTGACACACCTGGATTCCTGCTGTGGGAGCCCTCATTTGTGATTGATGGGGCAAGTCTACGCCCACCTCACCTGCAGCCACCGCCCCCTACTTAAGGAGATTGGCAGCACCTGTTCAGGGCTGCTGGCCTTGGTGGCCAGTCTGCCATTTTGTGTTTGTGTGTTTAGTTTAGTTCTGTTTTGTGCCTTTTTTGTGTTTTGGTTTCGTGTGTGTCCCTTAATTTTACCACTTGTTTTTTGTAAGCCTGCGAGACCCCTTTTGTGGCACAAAACTCTGTTTATTCTTTTTTCTTAGTTTAGATTATTTTCTGCATATTTTAGTCTTTTGTTAATTTACCTTTACATTCACATTATTTAATTTATAAAATTTTTCCATCTTGGCTATTTTTGTTACTTCCCTCACCCCCAAACGAGCTGGATTGTAACAAGTTTTTTCAATGTGTGGTTTAAAAGTGAAGGATCATCAATCAAGACACCAAAGTGTCCAAGAGTGAACATCACTGGAACAGTTTGAGATTCTTCCTGCGCAGAACTGAGGACTAGTTTAAACCGAAGAAGTGAATGCTGAACAATAAAAAATGCTTTCTATGATTCAATGACCTGAGCAAGAGATGATCCATAACAATAAATAATGGCATCATCAGCATAAAAAGACAGATTAGTATCAGAGACTTCATGACCCAAGCCCCAAAACAGAGCCCTGTGGCACTCCTTTGTGGATAAAATAAATACAGAGCAGAGACCCTCATATTTAATACACTGAATCCTGTTACTCAGATAATTTGAGAACCATGTGACTCCATGATCTGACAGTCCTCGGCAAAGTAGTGAAGTAGTTTTTTAAAAGAGCATGGTCAACAGTGTCAAAAGTTTTTGACACATCAATAAAGAGAACCACAGGACTGTGTTACTAGTCCATATGTGTCAGAGTGTGAAACTGTCTGTGGTTCATCTTCATGTTGAAAAATAACAAGAGAAAGAGAGGGCGGAAATAAAATGTGTGCTCTTGAGAAGACAAGGCAAAGTTTTGAAAATGAGGACATACACCATTTTAAGCTTGCTTCTTTGTGAGTAAACTTTGCTCTTTTTTTAAATACATTTATTTTATTTTAAGTGCATTTGAATGTGAATGACTTAATATTTGTGCATTTGTTGAACAGTGCTGAGTGAGGGACTTCCTGTTGTGGTCTTTGCAGAAAATCTAACAGTGACGGTGGGAGAAGACTTCACAGAAGAATGTTGGTTTTATACACCTGGAAGTAAAAAAATCTTCTGTAAAAATGACTGTAATAAAGAAGAAGACATTTTAGTGAATACTACAAAGGACAGAGCGGAGAATGGCAGATATAGTATTCAATATGAGGAAGAGACCAACATTATGTCAGTGAGAATTGAAAAGGTGCAGATGTCTGATTCGGGACAGTACCAGTGCAAGTTGGAAACGATTTTGTCTAATATCTGGTGGGTTAAAGATGTCAGCGATGAATTTAAGATCCAAGTCACAGAAGGTAAGCCCACATAAAAAAACATAACATACACGTCAACATATCTGGCCTGGACTCTGATACCTGCTTGTCTCCATGGAGATGTTATGGCTTTGCCTCAATGTTCCACATTATGATATTAAACATGTTTTACATCAGTTTAAAGGTCGCCACACACTACAGGAGAATTTTCCTAATTTTGGATGTGACTTGCTGCTCTCTGAGTTCGTGTGTGTCCCGACTTTGTGTCTTCTTCTGTAATTTTATAGCCACTGTGCTCCTCAAGTGTGTATGTGACTCTGAGCTGCTCTTTCAGATCGTAACCACCAAACATCAGTGACACTACGATAACAGCCAATAAAACAGCATCAGGGGCAGAGGAGTGACGGGCAAAGAGGCACAACACACAAACTCAGTATGAAAAGTCATGAAGACTTTATTCACTTCTTGTAAAGTGGTAAATTTAAAGTGCAGCTTTTCATCCACATTATCCACAGAATTTGTCCTCCGCAAATAATGACATCCAGTCCACAAAAACATACAGTGATCCAGTTTGAGGAGTTCTTGGTATACTTCCTCACGTGTGTCTTCTTACATCCACACAGCGAGCAGATCAAGGTGAAGCTGCAGATTAGAGCTAGTGACTCTGCTTCCTGTGGACTTTATCACTGATCTTTTATGCTTTAAAAATCATGTATCTGAAGTATTGCACCACATTTCACAAATAATAACAACACAGTTTTGACTTGTATCTAAAATAGAATTGCATTGCTCTGATCTTTAAACACTCAAAGTCTGAAAGTCTCAAAGCGAGTCGTTTTACTTTAGACAGGAAACAGCTGACACAATTGCGCTCACAACTTTAAGGTCAGTGGTGCTCAGACTTATCCTGCCGCAGTCTCTGACATCAGAGGTTTTAAGTCTCATAAGATTCTCCTTGTGTCTGTGGTGTGGGCTGTTTGATGCACGTTTAAAAATCGTTTAAGACTGAAAAATCCTGTATTGTGTGATGGCCTTTATAGTGAGCAAATATAGGACAAAAATGTTTTCCAGTATAGTCTAGTTCACAGGTGTCAAACATAAGGCCCGGGGGCCAGACCCGGCCCTCCAAGACCTTTAATCTGGCCCTCGGCTGATTTTCTAATAAAATATTTTATTTATGTTTTCTGTTAAAGTATTGGTTTAATTTATAATTTTCTGCGGTGCTTAGTATAGCAGCGTCTCCAGCGTCTGTACGTGGCCCCTCCCACCAGAGCAGCACAAATGAAGACTTGTCTCTTTCCAAACGCTCTTAAAGGACGATTGTTTTGACTGTTGACCGTGACACCCTCATCAGAAAAATGTCCAACATGAGAAAAGTGGAGCCGAGTGCAGGATTTTACAAGAAAAACTGACTTATTCCTATTTACATACAAGTTATTTTTAAAATGTTGTGTTGAAATAGCATTTTCTTAAAGTTTCAGGTTGTTCATAATATTATAATATTTTGTAAAAGAAAGAGTTCATCAATTAAAAAAGATTTCTGTAATAGATTTGTGTTTGTCTGCACAAATATCTGAACTTATTGCTATTTTTGCGGTTTATATGCCATGAGTTTTCTGATCCCGCCCCTTTGGGATCAAAGTAAACTGGATATGGCCCCCGGACCAAAATGAGTTTGACACCCCTGGTCTAGTTTATCACTACTTCCAAATAATATTCACACTGTAAAAATGCAATAGTTTCAAATGTCAACTAGATGAACCAAGAAATGTAAACCAGGCATAATGCTTTTTCTTTTCAGATTTTTCTGATTTATATGTCATAAACGGGACCACCATCAGACCTGAACATGAATCACAGTCTCCAGCACCACACGACTCGCCACCATCAGGTCTGCATGTCATAACAATTAATCAAAAATGATCAACACGTGATTGTGAAGCACCTCTATGTGATGTTATGGAATAGCTGAGGTTGTTTGTCAAAAGGTTGATGGTTCAGTCCTAGACTGGTGTTATGTTTAGGGGTGTCAAATTACCTCGTTAATTGCAATTAATTAATTACAGTCATATTTAGGGCGTTATGTTTTTTAATTGCGTTAATCTTATTTTTAATCTCTAAATTTACTGTTTCTGTATGCGAGTTGCCTTATTATAAAATCAGTTTTTATGTGTTGTTAGGACACAGTCCCACACTGTGCAGTCCTGCTCCGCTCACTCCTGCAAAGAATTGTAATTTTCATTCCCAGTCTTGCCCGCATCTGCGATAAACCTGTTCTGTGCCTGTGTCACGATGTTTTCAGAGATCAGACGATCTCTGAAAACATCGTGACACAGGCACAGAACAGACTCTCCTTCACCTTCAACACCCCTCTGTCACAGAGAGAACACTCATATTCCACTGAGTCGTGTCCTTTAGTCCAACAGAAGCTGAACCGCATCAGCACAAGAGCATTTTTTTTCTTTTCTCCGCTTAGTTTATGCAAATTAGCCATGTGGTTTTAAGTTTCATTCCTGTGAGACTTGCACAAAGCTGCATTAAACACATTATAAGGTCAAACGGGCTGATGTGGCTCTAGAGTGGTGATGGTTTATATGTTGTAAAGTTGAGTTTATTTATGCAGATTAGTAATAGTATTAATAATGATACTTATATAAAAACTTATATAAAAATTATATTATATGTATGAAAATAATGTAATAATGAATTCAGAATGAAAATACCTCAAGTTGAAGGCTTTTCTCAGCAATTTTTAGGTGAGATTAAAAAAGAGATTAATTAGATAAATTAATTACAAATCATAATTAATTAATCTCTCAATTTGTTTATTGCTTGACAGCACTAATTATATTGTTTTGCTGTTTAAATGTGTTATCAAAGTGGGAACATATCATCTTTTTGCAAACTGTCAAGTAGGGGTCCCTCAAGGATAAATTTTGGAGCCCATTGTATTTTCTTTCTTCATTAAAGATCTGCCAGATGTTTGTATGCAATGTGATATGTCAGATTCTCAGCTGCTAAAACAGAGAGTGCCTCTTAGCTCTGGTCTGCTGTCCCGCCTCACGCATGCCCACAAGATTCACCAGATGCGTCCCTCTACTTAGCTCTTTCAGGCGCTGTATCTGTCCTTGTTGGCACGTCCCTCTGCCCAGTCCAGCCTCGCCCGTTCCCGCTGCCCCACCTGTTCACGTTCCCATTTCTTCACAGCTGTTCTGTTTCTCGTCTCTCCCGTTTCCGGAGTCGCGTCTTCATGCCCCAGGTCTGCCACCCCACTCATGCCCTCTGTCTGTCTTTTCAAGGAAGACCCAGTCCTTCACTCACATATAAAAACACACATCAAACAATCAAATCAAAACAAATAAAATCATACCGAGTAAAAAACAAGGGTTCATCTTCTCACATTTGACATATACAAGTGCAAAACTGACACTTACTTATAAAAGCTGACCAAACTTTAGGGCATCTTCTTTGGGGCATCTTTACAAATATGACTGATGAGGAAAAAAATACTGAATCCTTTCTCCTGATAATTCTTCAGCAGATTTTCTATTGTACATGGGAACTACAGTGGTTCTGGGGTCCCTCTCTGTTGCTCTCCTCATATTTTACTGTAAAAAGAAACTAAACAAAGACAAAGGTAAAAGTTCTCATTGCCATTAAATGTGACCTGAGAATTGTAAGGTTTTTATTTTGGCTTCTCTCTCTGCAGAAGTTCCAGTGAACAGTGAATCTGCTGAAGGCCTAGAGGTGAGTGGAATACAGACAGACCAGTGTGTCTTTAAACTTGTTGATTTTATGTATTTTTTTCTTTTACTTTTGAGCCTGCCTTAAGTCACTGTTGTACTAAATATTGAGCAAATACTACCAACTCCTGGAAGTGGTCGTCTTAAACAAGTGGAGGCCCTGAGTGGTCACTGCCATGATCCTGTTTAGCAAAAAGAAAAGAAACAAACCTGTGCATAAGTTTTTATTTTTATTTTTATTATTATTCAAAAGCAGGGGCAGCATCAGACATTTCTTGTTGGAGGAGCTAAAGGAGTGGTAGGTCTTCAATGTGGGTGCTCACTTTACATGTTCATTTAGGGCACAGGTGTCAAACATAAGGCCCGGGGGCCAGACCCGGCCCTCCAAGACCTTTATCTGGCCCTCAGCTGATTTTCTACTAAAATATTTTAATTATGTTTTCTATTAAAATATTGGTTTCATTTATAATTTTCTGCGGTGCTTAGTATAGCAGCGTCTCCAGCGTCTGTACGTGGCCCCTCCCACCAGAGCAGCACAAATGAAGACTTGTCTCTTTCCAAACGCTTTTAAAGGACGATCGTTTTTACTGTTGACCGTGACACCCTCATCAGCAAAATGTCCAACATGAGAAAAGTGGAGCCGAGTGCAGGATTTTACAAGAAAAATTGACTTATTCCTATTTACATACAAGTTATTTTTAAAATGATGTGTTGAAATTGCATTTTTCTTAAAGTTTCAGGTTGTTCATAATATTATAATATTTTGTAAAAGAAAGAGTTCATCAATTAAAAAAGATTTCTGTAATAGATTTGTGTTTCTCTGCACAAATATCTGAACTTATTGCTATTTTTGGGGTTTATATGCCATGAGTTTTCTGATCCGGCCCCTTTGGGATCAAAGTAAACTGGATACAGCCCCCGGACCAAAATGAGTTTGACACCCCTGATTTAGGGCCTTTTAACAATGGAGCACACACCTAACATTTTGAACTCTCAGTGTTTGCCATTTGAAAATGTTTTGTTAAGATTGCATGTCCTATGAAAATGGGGCAGGTCTTTGGGGGTGCTATGTTGCTATGTGGGTGCATTGGCCATTGTAGGGGTGCTCTCAAGTTGCCCCCTGGCTCCACCCCTGTTCAAAAGTGTTTTATTTCATAACACAAGTAATGCAAATGTTCATCAGACCACCCTGAGGAAGACCGCTAGTGAGCAGTCACCAACAAGGACCACGCCAACAATGACATAGTGCGAAGAAGAAGAAGTTTATTGATAATGTATGAGGGGCAGAGATGGCTGGGTTCAGGCTCCGGGTGGGGACTCTGTCTCAATCTTCAATTGGCCCAGCCAGAACGTGACCCCCCTCGTAGGCGTCTTATGCAGGCATGTCCAAACTATGGCCCGTGGGCTAAATGCGGCCCTCAGACAAATGTTTCTTGGCCCTCAGGCTTCCAGGTGAATTGGTCCAAATTACCTTGCATCAATTAAAAACAAACTTTTTACTACCTTGATAAAGCCGATATTTAATATTTAGTGTGTGGTTTTAAGGATTTGAGCATAAATAAAGGATTGATGGATCATTCTTGCACATATTTCAATTATTCACTGTATTGAGCACCAGTTTACAGCTGTCGATCAGCCCTCTGCTTCGTCTTTGTTTAGATATGTGGCTCTTGATGAAAAAAGTTTGGACACCCCTGGTCTTATGGCTGAAAGGGGGATAAGACAGGGGGTGGGAGGTTGGGGTCGAGTTAGCCGAGACAAACTGGGATGATGGGAAAGGCTGCTACAAATAGGCTTCTGGGAAATTAGAGGTGTGATGGAAGTGAGTTGTGGTTCGCTGATGAGGAGGAGAGGGCGATTGGGGCGCGGTCCTGCTCCTGAATCTCAGTTAAACATATTAACTACACTTATCTGACCAAATTAACCTCATACTGAAAATACAACCTCACGCTCAGGCCCTAGTAAAAAGACACTCTACAATTGTGAAAATAGAAATAAATTGCTGGGTTGCAGGTGGCATCACAACATTCTACAGGCCAATAATATTTAATACAGATGGGGGACACTTAAAATTAGTATTAAATTGCATTTTTTGGGTCTAGTCACTAGTAAAAATTATCAGGATCAACATTTTTGAATTTACTTTTTAGATATTTTGTCATGAAAGTACAATGTAATCAATAAGAAAAACTGTCTGTTGCCCCTCATCTGGGAGTACAGAATCAAAAATCTGAAACAACCGATACAGTGCTCCCCCGAGTGAATGTCCAAAGGAGCTGAGTGTCAAGTACAGCCAGCGTCATTATTGCCTGAGACATTTCCTCTATTATTTCAGGGGGGCAGGGAGTACGAGGAGGTCCCGGAGCAACAGGTCCAGAGCTCTCCTGACTTTTACAGTTTGGCCTTAGCTCCAGCTCAGGCAGAGGTGAGTCATGTGATCTGACACTATAAACAAGATTTGATAGTGAAACTTCTCTAAATCTACACACACACACAAACACACATGTATAAGTAAAGTCAATGTCAATAATTTCTTGTTTATTCCTCAGAGCGTTGACTGCATTTACCAGAACACAGAACCTGGACTTTACTGACCCAAGCCACACCTACAACACCCTGTTTATCCAGCAGACACTTTGCAAAGCAGTGGTCTCCAAATTTTTCCCTCTGGTGCGCTACTTTTACAAACCGAAAATACCAGAGAGCTACTTGTTTTAACAGTCACAAGAAATGACTATATATAAAAGCCACGTGGCACAGTTAGATGCCTAGAAAACATAAACCATTATCCATTTATTAGTGCACAAACTTACACTGCAAAAACCTAAATCTAGCCAAGTTGAGATGACTAGAATTTAGAAAGTTTTATCATTTAAGTAAATTTCACTTGACAACTAAAATGATCTACCAATGGAAAAGACTTTTGGTACTTGCTCCACTTAAAATAAGAAAAAACAACAACTTTATACACTTAAAATAAGAAACAAGCTTACTTGTCCAGTTAAATCTACTGAAATAAAGCAAAATATTCTTAATTTATGTCATTTTAATTTAGCTAGTACTGGATTTTTGCAGTGCAGGCATCAAAATGATACATGTACTGTGGGAATAGGCATTTAATCAAAATTTTGCTTATTCAACACAATATGTATAATTCAGAAATCCCTTGGTGAGCTACTTGGAGGGGGGTAGAAAGCTACTGGTAGCTCCTGAGCTACAGGTTGGAGCCCCCTGGTGCAAAGGGTTGGGTCTGAGCCTCCCTTATCTTCTGTGACAAATCACAAGCGTGAACTCGACAATATCTCGAGCTACATGGATGGTGTGTGATCAGGGCTCTGCTGTTAAATCATCACAATATATTACCAATTAAATGCACTTATCTGTAAATTAAGTTTGTTTACGTTGCACCATTCCTCCTCTGTAAAACCAGCACTGAGTTTTATTGGGTGATGCCTTGTGTGAAATAAAAGAATCTGAGGTTTTTATTCAGTTGTACTAAATTCATCTACCATTAATACTGCTCCTGCTTCACTTGCGATGGAACGAAGGTCACAGTAACTTGGAGTCTAAAGGCCAAATACAACATGTGTTACAATAATGATGAAGTCTGGCATTAAACTTATCTGCCTGTTTAGAATTACAGATGAAAAACTGTTGAAAATGCATGATATTGTTGACTTAAGTCTCCTCAAAGTCATGTATAAAGCAAAGTGCGATGTATTACCTGTAAATATTCAAAGACTGAGACAAGAACAAGCCACTACAATTTAAAAGGAACCTATATGTTCAAAAAACGCAGATTCAGAACCAAAATTATGGAGCAAAGCATCACTGTGAAAGGAATTAATTTATGGACTAGTCTTGATGAAGAAGATATAAAAGAATCAAGTATAATAATGGCATTTTACAAAAGACATAAAATCCAGTACAATGTGTTTGTATGAAAAAGGAAACTAAGTTGTTGTGCATAAAAGTGAAGATTTCTGTTTGCAACTGATTAATAATTGTGCCTGAACTGAAAAGTACTGATTTGAAAATTTTTAGTAACCATGTGTGTTGATGTACTGTCTGGAAAAGGGAAACGGGGGCAGATTACTCTTCTTTCTGCTCCTTTTCATTCATTTCTTGTATGTTTGATGTTGTGACACTGTTGATGTCTTTTTATACTTTATGAATCAAATAAATAAATACAACGAAAATCATGCATTCTGTTATTGGGCTTGCCTCTCCATAGATCTGACTTGTAACTTGGCTTGGTGGTGTCGTCTGCCTCTCTCCGTGGAGATAGAGAGGTTTAAAGTCATACTGTGGAAGGTAAAACTGTAAGTATGACAAATCCACGGAGACAAGCAGATGTGTCCAGAAAAGTTGCAAACTTAGACAGTCTCAGTAATAATGAAATAAAACTAGTGGTTTGAAACTGCAGTAAATGAAACAAACGATGTAATATAAGTCCACCAGGGTGTGAGTGTGAGTGCTAAAACTGTAAAATAAGCAGAAAGAAAGAGCAAGAGAGGAAGTACACATTACAGAAGAAGTGTCTCTGTTTATGCAAATACAAATATCAGATACAAAACCATTCTGATCCAGCTTCTCTGAGTAAACTTTGTCTTTTCAGTCATTGCTTTTATTACTATAGATTGATTTAGATTTGACTCTTTAATAAATTTGTGCATTTGTTGAACAGTGAGAATGAAGGACGGACTGATGTCGTATCTGGAAAAACAGATATTTGCCTGGATACAATAATATTTTCTGTAAAAAATAACTGTGATTAAAAAAAAGAAAACATTTTGATGGAGACTAGAGGAGTCAGTCATGAAAAGAAAAGCAGATATAGTATTCAATTTGATGAACAGACCTATAGAATGACAGTGGGAATAAAGAAGGTGCAGCTGTCTGATTCTGGGAGATGCCAGTGCAAGTTGGGAAGGACTCTTTGGTCTGATGGCTGGGGAGTTCATGATAAAGAAAATATTGTAATTTTTGTCAACAAAGCTAGGCCCCCATTTAAATATAGACCTTTTCATTGATTTAACTAGATTAGGTTTGTCCCAGTTTGCTTTTGATTCAGGAGCCCCTTGCAAGTTACTTTGTGTCCTGATTGAAATTTACATAATGCATGCTCTAATTGTGTTTACATTAAAATGTGAATATAGGGTCATCTCTAAATCATCAGCTAAAGAGATTCAACATTTTAAGAGAAATAAAAAACAATCTGTGTCTTTTCTTGAGTTTTTCAGTGATTGTTTTAGTAAAATAAGTGTACCCTCTCTCCAGGTTCTCTGCTGTTTGTGGCTCTGGCTGTAGCTGGAGTTCTGCTCCTCGTCTCTGCAGCTCTGGTTGTGTTTTACTGCAAGAAAAGAGTCAACAGGCCTCAAGGTGAGTCTGAAATATTCACTTACCTTTAATGTGAAACTAGAACCACAATAATAATGAAATGTGATACTTTTTCTTCCAGATGTAAACACAGGAGTTCAACAGGTGAGATCTAAATGTCCGAATGATTCCACAGACACATCAGGTGAAGTTTGTGTTTGTCATAAAAATGCATTAATCATTTCCTTTTTCTCTTTCCTCAGATTGCTGCTGCTGGAAATTGCATTTATCCAGAGCTTGAACTTGGACTCCATTGACCCAAACCAGACCTACAGCACAATTTTTATCCAGCAGGGGGCTCCACAACATGCTCAAGAACAACAGGTACAAGTAAAACATCTCTAAATGTCACACACACATGTACAGGTGAAACATCACATGTTTAAATGTCATAAAGATACATTCATAATTTTTTGTTTATTCCTTAGATTGTTGCTGCTAAAGATTGTACATACAAGGGCCTGGACTTGGACTCCATTGACCCAAACCAGACCTACAGTACTCTTTCTGTCCAGCAGGGGGCTTCCCGACACGCAAAAACAGATATTTAAGACACAATGATGTTTATATTACTTACTCTTTAATTATTATTATTATATATTTTTTTAAAATCTGACACACTGATTTTGTTATGACGCTTTCCCCCTATTTCTGTTGAGGAGACTTTATTTAAGTACATAACATTGGAATCTTTAAGAAGAAATGTCTTTTTTTGTCTCATGGTTGAAATGTGTAACGATGTAAAACACAAAAAAATCATTATAAGAACAATGCAAATGTGTGTCTCTGGTAAATTATAGATAACAGGTATTTAGCTATAACCACAAACTTTAATAATAAAAAGTAATATTAAAGTAATATGCCACTTAATAATCAATATCTGGAGGTAACTGAGTGGGTTCTGTGTGTGTGGTTTGGGTTCAGCTGTTTAACAGGTGAATTATATAAAACAATAGACTATATAATTCACCTGTAATTGTACTTATTTTAAAGAAAGATTATATAAAATGCCTCATATGTGCTCTGGTGTCCTGGTGTGTCTTCAAATGTGATGCAAAATGGGGAAAAAACAAAAACAAAAAAACATTTGGAATATTCAAAAACATAATAAATAAATAATAATGAAACACAAATACACAGGATGTAATTCACCAGACCATCACTGCACGAGTGTGGCTTCTTCTGAAAGTCTCTGGTTAAAACTCTGTATGAAAAAGAAGAACAGGAGAGAGAGCAAGAGAGATTGTAAAAAGAAGTGGTTCTGTTTACGTGAATACAAGTATGAGGTCTAATACAATTCTAATCCAACTTCTCTGTGAGTAAACTTTGTCTTTTCAGTTATTTTATTATAAATGTAGTAAACATTAATTTGATTTCAGACTCTTGGTCTGAAAAAAGAACCTAATAACATAAATGGGTCAGTGATGGTCTGGGGAGGCATATCCATGGAGGGACGCACAGACCTCTACCGGCTAGAAAAGAGCAGTCTGACTGCCATTAGTAGGTCCTGGGTTCCTCCTGATACATGATAATGCCCGGCCTCATGTGGTAAGAATCTGCAGGCAGTACCTGAAGGATAAACAGACTGATACATCTGAATGGCCCTCACGATCACCTGACTTAAACCCATGAAACCAGGTAGCTCCTCAGACTCTACAGGAGCTCAGTGATGCCCTTACACAGATCTGGGAGGAGATCCCACAAGACACCATCCATCATCTCATTAGGAGCATGCTACAACGCTGTCAAACATGCACACAAGCATGTGACGCCACACAAGATTTTGAGAAGCATTTTGAATTATAGAAATTAAATGTTGGCAAAATGGACTAGCCTGCCACATCATTATTTCACTTTTAATTTTCAAGATGTCTATAATATGAAGCCGTCTGTAGGCTGAAAATCAAATTTCCTTTAAAAGAGGTGGCATCCTTTTGTTCCTAAGAATCACCCTGTCCATATTTGTATAGATATCCAACATATATCTCTATCTCTATCTCTATCTATCTCTCTATCTCTCTATCTCTCTGTCTCTCAAGAATGTTTCACTTGGAAAACTGATGCATTTTCAAAGTTTTCCTTTATTTTTTGTGAGTAGTGTATTAGTTCATGTCCTATAGCATTTGTATAGAAATGTAATTGCTAACCATACATTGTTTTTGCATAAAAGATGTGAAATGGCAAAATATAACGTCCTGTTGATGGTCTGATAACTGTATTTGTTCTGCTCAAACACCAGTGAATAAACTTTCTCCTCGTGTCCCTCCTGTGATCCAAACAACAACTGCAGTCAGACCCACACAGAGGCCTGGTCCAAGTCCTGATCCTAGTTTTGACCCAGATTCTGATCCAAGTCCTAGTCCGGATCCAAACTCTGGCAGCACCATCAGATCTGAACATGAACTACAGTCTGAGACTACACACAGCTCTTCACAAACAGGTCATTTAACAGAAATAAAAAGGCAATTATAAATAACACATTGTGCTAAAGCCCTTTTATACAGCCCTGATCCTGGTTTATCTGCAGATCCTGTTTCTCTGATCACACATGAATAATAGCCATCATATAAAATGAACAATAAATTACCCCTTTTTCAGAAAAACTTATTACTTATTACTTGTTACTTTTTTCTTCCAGATGTAAACACAGGAGTTCAACAGGTGAGATCTAAATGTCTGAATGATTCCACAGACAGATGAAGTTTGTGTTTGTCATAAAATGCAATAAATCATTTCCTTTTTATTCCTCAGATTGCTGCTGCTGGAAATTGCATTTATCAGAGCTTGAACTTGGACTCCATTGACCCAAACCAGACCTACAGCACAATTTTTATCCAGCAGGGGGCTCCACAACATGCTCAAGAACAACAGGTACAAGTAAAACATCTCTAAATGTCACACACACATGTACAGGTGAAACATCACATGACTAAATGTCATAAAGATACATTCATAATTTTTTGTTTATTCCTCAGATTGTTGCTGCTAAAGATTGTACATACAAGGGCCTGGACTTGGACTCCATTGACCCAAACCAGACCTACAGTACTCTTTCTGTCCAGCAGGGGGCTTCCCGACACGCAAAAACAGATATTTAAGACAATGATGTTTATATTATTTACTCTTTAATTATTATTATTATTATTTATTTATTTATTTTTTTAATCTGACAGACTGATTTAGTTATGAAGCGTTCCTCCTATTTCTGTTGAGGAGACTTTATTTAAGTACATAACATTGGAATCTTTAAGAAGAAATGTCTTTTTTTTGTCTCAAGGTCAAAATGTGTAATGATGTAAAACACAAAAAATCAAGATTAAAAAATGCAAATGTGTGTCTCTGGTAAATGATAGATAACAGGTATTTAGCTATAACCACAAACTTTAATAATAAAAAGTAATTTATAAAGTAATATGCCTCTTAATAATCAATGGAGGTGACTGTAATTCTACTTATTTTAAAGAAAGATTAAATATGTGCTCTCATGTGCTGGTGTGTCTACAGTGATGATGCATGATGGGAAAACAAACAAACAAATGGAATATTCAAATTAGTATTGCTCCTGTCACACTTGTGTCACTGACTAATAACTAACTAAATGTCTCCTCTCAGGGGTGTCAGAAGCAGGTCAGAGAAAGGCGTAAAATCATGTTTGGATGGTAACAGTGGTGGTACACGAAGTGGTACACGAAACAAAAATACACAGGATGTAAGATTCACCAGACCATCACAGCGAGAATGTAGGTTCTTCTGAAACAGTCTGTGGTTAAAACTCAGATTGCAAAAGAAAATGAAGAGTGAGCGGGAAATGGAGGGAGATATTTTAAATAGAACTGGTTCTGTTTACATGAATACAAATAAGAGGTATAATGCAATTCTAATCCAGCTTCTCTGTGAGTAAACTTTGTCTTTTCAGTTATTTTATTATGAATGTAGTAAACATTAATTTGATATGATTTTGTGACTTTTCTAAAATGTTGCACAGTGCTGAGTGAAGGACTTCCTGCTGTTGTATTTGGACACATTCGTGTTCAGACCACCACAGAGGGACAAGACATAGAAGTAAAATGTCAGTTTAAAAAGTCTGGACATAAAAGACTCTTCTGTAAAACTTACTGTGATAAAAACGAAAACATTTTGGTGGAGACTACAGGAGACAGAGGTGAGAAAGACAGATACAGTATTCAATATGATGTACAAACCAATATAATGACTGTGGGAATCAAGAAGGTGCAGCTGTCTGACTCTGGACAATACCAGTGCAAGTTGGAAAGGACTTTTTGGTTTAATAGCATGTGGTCTGATGCCGAAGATACATTTCAGATTAGCGTCCTCAAAGGTAAGACAACTTTGTACGTACTAAATTATTTATTCAAAAGTGAACAAAAATGCAATTGTTCATCAGGACAGAAAAATATATGATATATATTATTACTATTAAAGGAACACTTTGAAAACACGTAAGTTCTCAATGTGAAAAAAAAAAAAAATCTTGGATATCTATACAAATATGGACAGGGCAATGTCTTATTGTCTTAGGAACAAAAGGATGCCACCTCTTTGAATGGAAATGAACAACAGGGAGAGACAACGAGACAACAACAGAACTGGTTTTGCATGTGGAGGTCATTTCAGGTTTCTCCCTCTTGGTCTTTGTTTGTTTTGTTTTCCACTAGTGCTGCTTTAGCTAAAGTGATTATCACTACTGGGAGTATGAAGCCATTCCTTAAACCTACAGAAGGTGTACACCACTGCAAGGGGATTTAATATGTCTCAAAGCACAATCTCCAGAACACACACACATATATATGTGTATATATGTATATATGTATATATATATATATATATATATATATATATATATATATATATATATATATATATATATATATATATATATATATATATATATATATATATACATACACACACACATATATATATATATAATACTTTTTATATATTTTTTACAATTATCTTCATACATTTTACATTTACAATACATAATATCTTGATTGCTGCCTTGGCTTTATGTTACTACAGACTTGAAAGTTTTTAGTCTGTGAATTACAGTTTAGTCAGAGGCAGAGCAAAAGTCATTAATGTCACAGGAAGTTGAAAGTGGATCATGGGCGGGTTTTATGACTGGGTCATAATCAACACAGCAGGGGGTAGGGGCATCACAGGTTGGGGAAAAGGATGTTGGTGTTTAGCAGTTCCATAGTGGCTTTGAGGTCATAAGTTGTCTTGGAGAAGATGGTGTAAATGCAGAGAGCTCATGGCGTAAGGGGGCAGTTGTGTCTCCTGAGCCTTTACACAGACTAATGACTGGTCTGGGTCTCAGGTAGAAATAACATTCATTTAAACAAAGACAGATTGAGAGAAATCTTTCCACAATGTAAATTTCCATCACAACACCATCCATCGTCTCATTTGGAGTGAGCCAAGACGCTGTCAAACATGCAGACAAGCCCGTGGGGGCCACACAGGATTTTGAGAAGCATTTTGAGTTGCAGAAATTAAATGTTGGCAAAATGGACTAGTCTGCCACATCTTTATTTTACTTTGATTATCAGGATGTCTGTAAAATTAAGCTGTCTGTAGGCTGAAAATCTAATTTCCTTTAAAAGAGGTGGCATCCTTTTGTTCCTAAGAATCATATTGTCCATATTTGTATAGATATCCAACATATATGTTTGTATATATATATATATATATATATATATATATATATATATATATATATATATATATATATATATATATATATATATATATGACATTGAGATGTGATGTGTTTTCAAAGTGTTTTTTGAGCAGTGTATTAGTTCATGTCCTATAGCATTTGTATAGAAATGTAACCATACATTGTTTTTGCATAAAAAGATGTGAAAATGGCAAAAAATTAACGTCCTGTTGATGGTCTGATAACTGTATTTGTTCATCTCAAACACCAGTGAAAAAACCTACTCCTCGTGTCCCTCCTGTGATCCAAACAACAACTGCAGTCAGACCCACACAGAGGCCTGGTCCAAGTCCTAGTCCGGATTCAAACTCTAGCGCCACCACCAGACCTGAACATGAACTACAGTCTGAGGCTCCACACAGATCTTCACAAACAGGTATCCTAAAAGAAACAACAAAGAACAGTTTTAGTGTGAATCATGTAGAGATGTTTGACAAAAGGACTGATGGATAAATCCTCACTACCCACCATGAGTAGAACTTAACTGGAAATATTATGAAACATGTAAAAATACTTTGATCACCTACAGTGTTACAAAAAATAAATACTGTGTCTGGATTATTTTCTATCAAAACATGCACAACAGGTGAAATCCTCCAGATAAGATCATCCTGACCAAGACCAGCTCAAGATCTGGAGATGGTCTCGGGTGTGGCTGAAATTACAATATATTCTGATCTGTGTTATAATATTGTTTCCTCTTCAAAACCCAAACCATGATTTAGGACCTTGAATTGTCAATCTCTACTGAACTAAAAAAAAGCAGCTGTAACTTGAAAACAATCACCACATGACATCACAAGGTGGAACAGAGCATTTTGAGTTTGAAGATGTGTAATAAAAAACCTTTAACCTTTTCTCCCCAGGTTCTGTGCTGTACATTGGAGTGACTCTTGCAGTGATTCTGATGATCTTCTCAGTTGTTCTTTTAATATTTTACTGCAAAAAGAAAGAAAACAAACCCACAGGTAAAGTATTAATGCAAATGTACCAGTGCTGTTTAGTCTTTATCACATGTTTTTATTTTTATTTGTGCAGAGTTTGCGGTGAACAGAGAGTTGGGGGAAGTTCCAGAGGTGAGATCTGAACTGCAGTCAGTGTGTCTCAGAAGCATCATCACACTTGTGTATCTGGTCCTTCAGTGAACTCAAGAGCATTTCCTGACAACTTCTTTCTTACAATATGTGAATTATGTGATGGTCCTGGTTTACACTGGGGCAGTTCAGCATGAGCAGGGTCAGTTTGGGGATGTTTCTGCTCAAGTCTCTGTAAGTAGTTGAACAAAGCTGACTCCACTTTCTGGAGCTGTCTAGTCCACTCTCCTGAGAGTTGTAAAGAGAAGCAGGAGAATCTACACATCTGAACTTAAACATTCAACATATTGTGGCATTATTTTGTCCATTCAAGTCGCCCATGCTTCCTTTGTAGGGAGTATTATAACCTGTGATGATATAGGCCACATAAAAAAGACTGAGCTGGACAGGCCCTTGGTCCAGTCGTTTCTCTCAGTTTCAATATTGCAAATATATTTTGATAAAGTAAATTGCAGATGAGCAGAGACACAGTGGAGTCATTTGGAGGCTGGACAGCTGTAGAACTTTGCCAGCAGCACTAATAACTATTAAAGCCCTTTTACTCACTGTATTGTTGCAGGGGGACAGGGAGTACGAGGAGGTGCCGGAGCGACAGGTGCAGAGCACATCTGACAGGGGTTCTGACATTTACAGTTTGGCCTCAGCTCCAGCTCACACACAGGTGAGTCATGTGACCTGATACTATAAAAGAGGAACTCGGGGAAATGTAAGATCAACTTTGTAACACAAGTGTTTTGGGGAAGCTGATGCTCTTCTCTTGCTGATAATAATGGGATGTAAGTGGAGTTTAAAATACTCAGGACATTTGAGGACTATACTTGCCCAAGAACCTCAAACCAGGTAATAAAGGATTAACCCAAGACTAAACCAGGACAGGACAGGGGAAGGCCACAAGACAACAATTTATTAAATCAGGAAGTAAAAAAGAACATTTGCAATAATCATATAAATAACTATAAACCCAAGGCTGCTGATAAGTGGCTTTATAAGACTTTGTACATTTTTGATTTGGGATATTTTACTTATTTATAAATAATTCTTTCAGTACTCTTACTTGAGTAAAAGTCTTGGTGACTCTTCCCACTGTTTATGTTGACAATATGAAATGATTTGAACATTTGTGTTTCCTTGCACTGCTCCTTCAGATATAATTTAGTTTCTTACATTTTTCCTTGAGTAATATTATTTTAAAGGACGTTACTTTTACTTTAGCACAATGTTTGGCCGCTCTACTCACCTCTGCTCATAAATGAGATCAGCTGCAGTGCACATGCTCTTATATCGCCCCCATCAGGACACACAACAGAACTACAGCATCAACAAACTTGTACCTGGTCTGTGCAGGTGGACTCAGGGCTGTACTCTGAGGTGGCAGACTTCAGCAGGAACAGCGCCCCCCACAGTCGGGCTGAGGCAGTGATCTACTCTGCAGTGCAAACTCAAGACACTCCACTGTACTCCAACTTTTCTGCTCTGCAATAATAGTTAAAGCTCCCACATGATGCTTTGAGGATATCTTTACATTGATTCTTGTGTATTTAATGTTTATGTTTGGTTCAGTTGTTTAGCAGGTGAATTATATAAAACAATAGACTATATAATTCACCTGTAATTGAATATCTTTTAAATGGAGCTAGTGTAAACTCAGCCTGGAAGACCAAACTGTGCTTCCATCTACCAACACCACTTCACCTGCTCCTCAGTCTTCATAACCTCACTCCAATGACTCCTCCTCTCACCTCCTCTTCATCCAATCAGCATCCAGTCTGCTCAGTTTAAATCTCGTCCCCAGCGCTCCCTTGTCTTCTCATCCTCTCATCGTCTCCTTCACTCTCCTCGGCTTCACCTCCACCACCTCCAGGGTCCAGACCCCGGGGGGAAGACATCTCCTAAACATCATCTAACCGACCACATCCTCCATCGTAATGTCTTCTGCTGGAGTCTGAGCGCCAAAGATAACTCATTCAATAAAGTTTATACTAACACTTCTCTTTGTGTCTGTCTGAGTCTCTCCAGGTTGAAATAAGTTTGTTTACATTGCCTCATACGTGCTCTCATGTCCTGGTGTTTCTTCAGTGCTGATGCATGATGAGAAAACAAAAGAACAAACAGTCACATTAATTGTATTCAAACTGCTCAGTGTCAGAAGAAGATCAGAGAAGGGCATTTGGTTTAAAAGCATGTTTGGATGGTAACTTTGGATGGTAGATGTTGTAATATTCACTAAACCGTCAGGGTGAAAGTGAGAGTTCTTTTGAAACCATCTGCGGTTAAAACTCTGATTGCAGAACAAGAGCGAGAAATGAGGAGAGATTTTTAAAACAAGTTCCTTAAAGAAGTGACTCTGTTTATGCGAAAACAAACATGAAATACAATATATTTCTGATTCAGCTTTTCTGTGAGTAAACTTTATCTTTTCATTATTTCTATTATAAATGTAGTAAACACACAGATTTGGATTTGACTAAATGTGTGACTTTTCTAAAATGTTGAACAGTGAAGAACTTCCTGGTGTCGTATTTGGAAAGACTCACACAGTCACAGAGGGACAAGACTTCACAGCAGATTGTTGGTTTCATATCTCTGGAAGTAAAAGACTCTTCTGTAAAAATGACTGTGATAATAAAACAAACATTTTGGTGGAGACTTCAGGAGACAGAGCTGAGAAAGACAGATACAGTCTTCAATATGATGAACAGACCTATAGAATGAGAGTGAGAATCAAGAAGGTGCAGCTGTCTGACTCTGGACAATACCAGTGCAAGTTGGAAAGGACTTGGTTTCATGGTTATGATACATTTCAGATTAGTGTCTTCAAAGGTAAGAACACATTTAAATGAATACCTTGTAGATTTTCAGTTATTTAAGTTAAAAAGTGAAAAAAAAAATGTAACCGAACCTCACACTAATTATTATTATTTTTGGATAAGAACATAAATATGAGGTCAGTTAAAGTGAAATTGTAAAGATAAATATAACGTCCTGTTGATGGTCTGATAACTGTATTTGTTCAGCTCAAACACCAGTGAAAAAACCTCCTCCTCGTGTTCCTCCTGTGATCCAAACAACAACTGCAGTCGGACCCACACAGAGGCCTGGTCCAAGTCCTGATCCTGGTTTTGATCCAGATCCTGATCCAAGTCCTAGTCTGAATCCAAACTCTGCTATCAGACCTGAACATGAACTACAGTCTGAGGCTCCACACAGATCTTCACAAACAGGTCATTTAACAGAAATAAAAAGGCAATTATAAATAACACATTGTGCTAAAGCCCTTTTATACAGCCCTGGTCCTGGTTTATCTGCAGATCCTGTTTCTCTGATCACACATGAACAATAAATGACCCTTTTTTCAGCTAAACATAATCTGTGTCTTTTCTTGAGTTTTTCAGTGATTGTTTTAGTAAAATAAGTGTACCCTCTCTCCAGGTTCTCTGCTGTTTGTGGCTCTGGCTGTAGCTGGAGTTCTGCTCCTCGTCTCTGCAGCTCTGGTTGTGTTTTACTGCAAGAAAAGAGTCAACAGGCCTCAAGGTGAGTCTGAAATATTCACTTACCTTTAATGTGAAACTAGAACCACAATAATCATGAAATGTGATACTTTTTCTTCCAGATGTAAACACAGGAGTTCAACAGGTGAGATCTAAATGTTCGAATGATTCCACAGACACATCAGGTGAAGTTTGTGTTTGTCATAAAGATACAATTATAATTTCTAGTTTCTTCCTCAGATTGCTGCTGCTGGAGACTGCACATACCAGAGCCTGAACATGGACTCCATGGACCCAGACCAGACCTACAGTACTCTTTGTGTCCAGCAGGGGGCTCCACAACATGCTCAAGAACAACAACAGGTAAAAGTGAAACGTGAAACAGTCACACCAGGAGAAGTTTGTGTATTAACTTAATGAAAATACAATAATTAATTGTGCAATTGCTTCATTATATGATTGATGAATTAATTAGTTGTTTCTTCTTCAGATTGTTGCTGCTGGAGACTGCACATACCAGAACTTGAACCTGATCTCCATTGACCCAAACCAGACCTACAGTACTCTTTGTGTCCAGCAGAGGGCAACAGATATTTAAGACCGACTCACGTCCACATTTCTTACTCTTTTATATTTTCAATAGCCTGATGTATGCTGATTCTATTATGAGTTTTTTCTTTATTCAAGAACATAATATTAGAATCAGTAATCAGACATCTTTTTTTGTCTTCTCATCGTCTCATCGTCTCCTTCACTCTCCTCGACTTCACCTCCACCACCTCCAGGGTCCAGACCCCGGGGGGAAGACATCTCCTAAACATCATCTAACCGACCACGTCCTCCATCATAATGTCTTCTGCTGGAGTCTGAGCGCCAAAGATAACTCATTCAATAAAGTTTATACTAACACTTCTCTTTGTGTCTGTCTGAGTCTCTCCAGGTTGAAATAAGTTTGTTTACATTGCCTCATACGTGCTCTCATGTCCTGGTGTTTCTTCAGTGGTGATGCATGATGAGAAAACAAAACAAACAAACAAACAAAAAATGTATTTAGATTAAGAAGGTCAGAGAAGGGCATGATGATGATGATTCATGATGGGAACAAACAAAACAACAAAACAAAATTGATGCATTTGGAGCATACAAATGTATCAAAACTGCTCCTGTCACATTTGTGTCACTGACTCATGGTCCAGAAACACACCAAATGTCTCAGATCAGTGGTGTCAGGAGAAGATCAGGGAAGGGCATCTGGCTTAAAAACATGTTTGGATGATAAAAGTGGTAAATAAAAATGAAACACAAATACACAGGATGTAACATTCACCAGAGCATCAGGGCGAGAGTGTGGGCTCTTCTGAAACAGTCTGTGGTTCAAACTCGATATATACAAAAGAAGAACAAAGACAGAGAGAGGCAGAGAAAGGAAGGGACATTTTAAAAACAAGTTCCTTAAAGAAGTTACTCTGTTAATGCGGAAAAAAACAAACATGAGATATAATACAATTCTGATCCAGCTTCTCTGTGAGTAAACTTTGTCTTTTCATTATTTTCATTATAAATGTAGTAAACACATTGATTTGGATTTGACTAAATGTGTGATTTTTCCAAATGTTGAACAGTGCTGAGTGAAGAACTTTCTGGTGTCGTATTTGGAGAGACTCACACAATCACAGAGGGACAAGACTTCACAGCACAATGTTGGTTTTATGGATCTGGAGGTAAAAGACTCGTCTGTAAAAATGACTGTTATAAAAAAAGAAACATTTTGGTGGAGACTACAGGAGTCAGAGCTGAGAAAGACAGATACACTCTTCAATATGATGAACAGACAAATATAATGAGAGTGACAATCAAGAAGGTGCAGCTGTTTGACTCTGGACAATACCAGTGCAAGTTGGAAAGGATTCGTTGCTCTGGTCTCGTGTGGGTTGATGACTACGATACATTTCAGATTACTGTTCTCAAAGGTAAGAACACATTTAAATAAATACCTTGTACATATTTAATTATTTAACTCAAAACATTAAAAAAAAGTTGCAAATATCAAAGACAAAAAATTTGAAACTTATTTCTAAAGCATTTGTATAGAAATATAATTGTGGTAATACAGGAAGTGCTCCACTGTGTTTTTAATCTAAAGGTAATAGGTCACCATAAACTTGAGCATTTTGATTATAGGAGATTCAGACTAATGATTTGGGATTACTCAAACATGTAAATGAAACAAAACACATCTCCAGGTCTGTTTTTGATGAGGTAACAACATTTTGACAGCAACAATAATTTAAGATTAAAGGCCTCAAAGGTTCGTCCCAATTTAAATACCTTTTACATATTCATTGATTTAACCCAGTTTGGTTTGAATTAAAAAAACAAAAAACTGCAATCTTGGCAATACTGGCGACAACAGATGTCATAAAATTAACAAAAACAGACCCCTTTTCAACTAAACATAATCTGGGTCTTTTCTCAGGTTTTTCAGTGATTGTTTTAGTAAAATAAGTGTACCCTCTCTCCAGGTTCTCTGCTGTTTGTGGCTCTGGCTGTAGCTGGAGTTCTGCTCCTCGTCTCTGCAGCTCTGGTTGTGTTTTACTGCAAGAAAAGAGTCAACAGGCCTCAAGGTGAGTCTGAAATATTCACTTACCTTTAATGTGAAACTAAACCCACAATAATCATGAAATGTGATACTTTTTCTTCCAGATGTGAACACAGGAGTTCAACAGGTGAGATCTAAATGTCCGAATGATTCCACAGACACATCAGGTGAAGTTTGTGTTTGTCATAAAAACTACATTCATAATTTCCTCTTTATTCCTCAGATTGTTGCTGCTGGAGATTGTATTTACCAGAGTCTGGACTTGGACGCCATCTGGCTTAAAAACATGTTTGGATGATAAAAGTGGTAAATAAAAATGAAACACAAATACACAGGATGTAACATTCACCAGAGCATCAGGGCGAGAGTGTGGGTTCTTCTGCAACAGTCTGCGGTTCAAACTCGATATATACAAAAGAAGAACAAAGACAGAGAGAGGCAGAGAAAGGAAGGGACATTTTAAAAACAAGTTCCTTAACCCTTATATTGTGTCTGGGTCAAAATTGACCCGTTTTCAAGTTTAGGTATGTAAAAACTACCATTTGCTTTTTTGTACCAGAATGAGGCTTCATCTAATCCTCAGACACAACTATTTTAACGCAACAAAATACATTTTCACCATTTTAGTCAATTGTAAAGGTCTGAAAAAAAAAGTGACATTTGGGTGTTACGGGTCAAAATTACCCGGTGAGAATAGTGGCTGTTTTATGCATCACTTACAAGCTGTGGGCTGCTCTGTGGACCAAATATGGCTCAGTGTGTCCCACAACACACACACACACACACACACACAGGGCCCCCTTCACCACACCTCCACAACATCAACTCAAACTTTCTCATAGAATCTAGATACACACAGACACACACGCGTGCAAACACCACACACACAGGCCCCCTTCAACATCCCTCCCCTACGTGAACTCAAACATTCTCGTAGAATCTATACACACACACAGACACACACACACAGACACACACACACAGACACACACACACAGACACACACACACACACACACACACACACAGACACACACAGACACACACACACAGACACACACACAGACACACACACAGACACAGGTCGCTTCACCCACGTGAACTCTTTTCTTTCTCGCAGCACATTGATACATTCTGAATCAAAAATAAACATTGTCATATATAAACAGGGGTTTAGTGAGATATTATCAGCTGTATTGTGTTGCAGCATCAGTCAACATGAGCAGGTTCACTGTTTATGAGGCGCTGGATCAGATCTTTGGTCATGACAGTGATTCTGAACACAGAGAGGAAGTGAAGCTGAGGAAGATGTGTCTGAGGATGAGGACACAGACTGCATAAAGAAGTGGACTGAGTGTGATGTCATCCACAGCGTTCAGCGCCGCTCAAATGAAGCTCACAGTTACAGAAGCGAATCTAGAGCCAGGTTATATGTTATGAATAGGATTTTTGACAGATAAATAGCAAAAAAAAAAAAAAAATCAGGATCATGTGTTGCAGGTTAATACGTATATTTTAAGATGAATATGACGAGGTTCACAGCAGCAGGTACAGAGAAAGGGATGACAAGATCCCAACATAAGTCAGTTGGAGCCAGAGTCAGAAGGAACCGGAAGAGCCTAATGGAGAACTTCCTGTTTGGAACGTGGCGGCTACAGCGTTAGTTATGTCATTCATATATACGTCTATAGATGAAGCTGAGGTTCAGAATGACCCTGAACAAGAGCACACATCTGATGAGGAAACCAGATGTCACAAAAGGATGAAAGAGACGTCTTCAAGTCAGAAAAAAGTGACAGTTCATGGTCACCAAGCCTCTTGACACCCAATTAATTATACTTATATAAATTATATNTTATTCCGGGACTATATGTCTCTTTTCATACTAATTTAGTGTTTTTGTTTTGTTTGTTTGTTTTTAACTTACATTTAATTCCTGTAGTCTCTTTCTTGTCCTTCTCGCAAGCTGCCTCGGGAGCAAAACGAAGCCATTGCAAACTGTAATAAATGTGAAACATTGCAATTTCAGTATAAACCCATTACTCATAGCAATTATAGTTTTAAATTAAATTAACAGTCAACCATACCTTGATCAGTACGAGGACCTTGTCACTCAGTGCAAATTCAAAATAATGTCTCCCCCCTTTTTACTGTTTAATTTGTGTGACTGAATTCACTGAAGTGTTCACGCCCTCTTTTTTTCTGTTACTATGATTGGCTAGTAACTTGCCCCCTTTTCAACTAGATTTACACCCTTAAAAGAATATTTAAAATACATCATAATTTCTTTCCCTGGTCCCTATGAATCCTCACATTAGATATTGTAATTTATATTTGGCCCATAGAGGCGAGGGGTATTGTTCTTCGTCGGTTTCTTTTTTTTTTTAATTCCCTTTTCCGACCAAACAATCGCATTTTTGACCCCCTGAACATGGACGATCGATCGGTTCGGCGAAAAATTTGATAAAATGGGCATCGCAACAATGACCCGAGTGACCAGACTCAACAGCGCCGCATAGATATCGACCCCTATGGGAGTGGGGACAGGCAAAGTTTGTCGCAGGTAAATGAAATTCAGGACAGTGATAGAGAACAATGAGACAAGCCAAAAGATGAATTGGAGCATGACCCTATGATGAACAGGAAGTCGGCCATATTGGATCAAACATTCGGCGCCGTTTTGACTTGGGTGTCTACAAAAAGATTCAAGTCCCCGGGGTTTGGTCCAAATGAACTCAAATTTGACATGTCACATCTACAGACATGAACTCACAGAAGTTCCCAAAGTTTTTGGGATACTCCTTACAGTTTGCCCGTAGCACGCCGGCGAAAAACGCCTTAATTTCCTGTTTTTCCGGTGACCTGTCACGGCCACAGGCATTGGCCTAGAGAGCTCAAATTCAAATCACAATTGTGTGATTCAGGTCTGAATGTAATGAAATATGAAATTTAATAAAACTGAACTCTATAGCGCCCCCTAGCATAGACATGAAACGTCAACATTATCAGAATTGGACCAAATTTGGGAATTAAATTCTATGCATGATGACAAGCAAAAAAGTCCATTAAGGACATGGGGCATTTTTCACGGTTGTTCAGCAGGGCCGCAATGACTCCCCCAACAAATAGTTAAAAAATTATTACATGCCCATGTTTAATCTGATCGTGTTGAAATTTCAATCACTAATGCCTCATCTCAACCTGAATATAATACACTATGAAACATATGAAAATTGAACACTATAGCGCCCCCTAGCATATACATGAAACGTTAACAATGTCGGATTTGTACCAAAGTCGGGGATTAAATTCGA